GCGAGGCACGTGGAGACAGTACTGCGTGGAAAAAGAGGCGCCTGGACGCAGGTACAACAGCAGCGACGTAAGATTAAATCTTACAATCAGGATGTGCATGATCTGAAGCAATACCTAGTGGTGGTTCCGGGTCATGTACTTCATCCTGGAAAGGGGAGTTTTTTAGCATGTCAGCGATTAGCGCGAACCGTGCACTACCCACAGAAAGACGTTTTCTGCGGGTGTGTGTAGACATTTTTTGTTCCCCAGCCTCGAAATAAAAAAAAAAAAAAAATTATTATTATTATTATTATTATTATTATTATTATTATTATTATTATTATTATTATTATTATTATTATTATTATTATTATTATTATTATTTTTATTTAATTCTCCTTAATGGGTTTTTTGGTAAGTTTTGGTGGCCTAAGCCAGTACAAAATATAACACAATATCTATATATTTATTTAAACTATTTTAACTAGTATTTGATTGGTATTTTAAATTAATTAATATTTAAAAATTTGCGAGTAATATGACAGGAATCAATTATAACACTTTTCTGGATGTCATCAATAATTCGCTGGTTTAATTCAAGTCTTCGAATATGCGACAATAAACTTTTTGGCGTTACACCTTCAGCACTAATTATAATTGGAAGAATTTCAATTTTGTTAAGGTTCCAATTACGTTTTGTTTCCACAGCTAATTCTGCGTATCGACTACATTTCTCAAAATAAGTACGATCCATGTTTTTGGTCATTGGTATTGCAACATCAATGAAGAGTCCTTCTCGACGTCTTTTATCAACAATAGTTATATCTGGTCTATTGTGCAACCTCGTGTGATCGGAATAAATAGTTCGATCGTAATAAATTTTTACGTCTGGATTATCATATACTGCTTGTGGTGTATACTTATAGTATGGAACATTTTCTCTATCAATAAGTCTATATTTATTGCATATTTGCTTATGTAAAATATTAACCACGTTATTGTGTCTCTTTGTATATTCTCTTTGTGCTAAGCATGTACATCCTGCCAGTATGTGATCTACAGTTTCCGTTTGTTCTCCACATTGCCGACATTTATCACTAATTAGCGAAGGGTCTGACATTATAAATTTGCAGTAATTTCTTGTCGGAATTACTTGGTCCTGTATTGCAATCATGAATGCCTCAGTTTCAGCAAATAGTGTTCCACATGTAAGCCATTTGTGCGACATAATTTTATCGACATTGTCGGCGTTAGTGGATCTATAATATCTTCCATGTAGCGGTTTGATTGCCCAAGCTTGCTCTTTACACTGCCGATCTTGTGCTTTTCTTTCAAAAGTTCCTTCCAAATTTAATGGTGTGTAATGCTTGTCTGCTTTGTTTAAAATTTTAAACAAGATATCATTTTCTGCGTTCTTTAAAAAATATTCTCTCATTGATATAATTTGATTGTCGTGTAGTTCTTGTAGATCAATAAGGTCTCTACCTCCTTCCTTTCTAGGCATAGTCATTCGCTCACAACATGACTTTGGATGGTGGAATTTGTATTCTGTGAGCATAGTTCGTATTTTTCGCTGCATCGCTTGTATCTCAGTCGTTGTCCATTGTATTATTCCGAAACAATAAGTCAGAATGGGAATAGCAAAAGTATTGATGGCTTTTATCAAAGATTTACCCTGCAAATTCGTCTTGGCTATCTTATGAATACGTCCTTTAAATTCACTATATAATTTGTCTTTTACAGCTTTATGTGCTATTCTTCTGCTTTGAGATACACCAAGATATTTGTACAGTTCGTCTTCTTCCATGTCTTTAATAATCGATTCATTTTGCTCAAAATTTTCGAATTTAACGATTTTTCCACGAACAATACTGATTTTTCTGCATTTTTCAATGCCAAACTTCATTCTAATGTCATTACTGAAGTCCTCGACTATTTTAATAAGCTTACATATCTAAGGTTTCTCGCGTCGAAGCATATATCTTTAAATCATCCATATACATGAGATGATTTATTTTACATTCTCGAGAATTGCCTTTAATTTTGAAGCCATACTTTGCGTTCCTTAAGAGATTACTTAGCGGATTTAGCGCCATACAAAACCACAAGGCTGACAGGCAGTCACCCTGAAAAATTCCTTGTCGAATACTTATTTCATCTGTTCGTATGACACCATTTTGAGTGAACATTTCTATGTTTGTTCGCCATCTCGTCATGTTGTGTTCAAGAAAATTAACAATAGTTGAATGAATACCGTATATATTCAGGACTTCAATCAGCCAACTGTGCGGGATACTATCGAAAGCCTTCATGTAATCAATAAAACACATGTGCAGGTTTCTATTTTTCTTAGCTGCTTGTTCCAATATTATTTGGTCAATTATTAGTTGTTCTTTACATCCTTTTGCGTGTTTTTTGCATCCCTTCTGTTCTACGCACATTATATCGTTTTGTGTAAGGTATGTATTTATAAGATCGCCAATACAAGCAGTCAGTATCTTATATATTGTTGGGAGGCAAGTAATTGGACGGCCATTTGCTGGGTTTCCTTTAAATCCATTATTCTTCGCCATTAGATATGTTTTTCCTTTCGTAAAAATGATTGGAAATGTTGCGGGGTTTTGTAGACATTCATTTAAAAGTTCAGTTAATTTTTGATGGACTGCAGTAAATCTTTTAAACCAAAAGTTTTGTATGTGATCTGGTCCAGGAGATTTCCAGTTGTGTGTTTTTGCTATAATTCGTTTGACCTGATCACATGTAATTAGACAAGTTGACATTTTTTTTTCTTGATATTTCTCTTTCTCTTTTTCAATCCAATGAGCGGATTCATTATGTTTTTGTGTATTGGACCACAGTGAACTCCAGTAATTTTCTGCACTATTCTTACTTGGATATACGTCGTCTGACGTATTGGTATTGGATCGTATTTTTCTATAGAATTGCTTTTCGTTGTTGTTAAAGAGTCTATTGTTTTCTCGTCTTTGATTCGACAACTTGTATTTACGCTGTCTCGCTACTTGTACACATAGTTTCTGTTTTATAGTGTCTCTTGTGTTAATAATATTCGTGTGATTTGTTTCGTAGCGTGTGTGAAGATTGTATGTTTTTAATATCTTATTGATCCTGTTTTTAAGTCTTCTTGTAGGATTACCTTCAATGTACTTATTTATTCTTTCTAAGTCTCCTCTTAAATGATCAATTTTAATTTGTATTCTTCGTAGCGTATTACTCTTATTTCCATAAATTGCAGCTCTTCGTGGTCCATCTCTGGGTTGTCCTATCTTGCATCCCATTGTAGTAGCAATTGTTATAGCTGATACATATACAATAGTATGTAATTCTTGCAAATTGCTCACATTGTTCAATTTTGTCAGGATCGCATCATTGTTAAGTGTTTCAATAAGAAAACTTAGCTTCTTACTAGTATTAATTTTCGGAATGCGTGGCCTTAAAAGAGGGTTAAGGTTACTGTAAATGTCAAATTGTTGTTCAAAAATCTCATTTAAGCTATGCTGATTACTTCTAAGTCTCATTTGTTCATTACTTACATCTTCCTGCTGATCCGTGGTTTCATCGACATCAATTAAATGTACATTTAAAGCAGGAGGTGGTTGTTCATTTTCCACTTCTATCGTATTTACATTATTACGTGTTCCTGGTACATGTACGTTTGTAGAAGTATTAGTTGATTCAAATTGCACTTGCTCATTTTCTGCAGTTTCTGTCGATTGATCATTACTTACTTCGGCAACCGATTCTTTGATAGCGTTTCGTCTTGATTCTGGTATAAGATTGTTTCTATGAATAACCCGTACTTGATCTGCTAGTCGCTGTTCGGATACATTATAGTCCGGATGGTGCCCAACGAATATTGTATGTAGTGTAGTTCGATATGCTGTCATATCTCTTTCATTGTTTGTAGCTATATAGTAGGCGCGTAATAAATCTTCATTTATAGTATAAGTCCATTTTCTGCGCTGTCGTGGTCTGCCAGCCACGGTAAGAGCTATATCGGAATGTATATGCTGTTCACCGGACTGCAAAGGTGTTCTATTTCTGTTGTTCTGTGGCATACTTGTCGAACAGGACCCAGGTACCAAATCCTGCACGCGAGAGTTATGCGATCCCGACGCGGTGGGGTTATCCGATCTCCCCAGATTTACATTATTTTGTGACTGCATTGTGTACTATTTGTTCACACCTCGTAGTACACGGGGTGGTATTTTATACCTACTACCAGGTATATCGTCCAGCCGCTCCTAACATGGAGTCAGACACTGACCTAAAAGCCGCCCATTCTGAGTCAGTCGCTTTAGGTTTTTTATTTAAATCCCAGCCGCACTAAATAGCGAAAACAGACGTTGAGATAGGAGGGTTTTAGAGATTTTGGGGGAGACACTTATTCAAAGGCGGTGTCAGCTCGCCTTGTCGAGGTTGGATTCGAATCTTGTGATCTTTTCTTGGAGATAAAAGAGCCCCTTCGTTTACCCCAATCACATTCATAGACAGCCTCCGCTCATTGTCCGGGACTGCTTATTTAATTTTCATCTTATTCGCAGCTAACCATCATATCTGATGGCCATTCCATTATCCGCAACCTATGGACCCGTCCGCTTGCCTGAGCTCGGCATCCCACGGTACCTTCCAATTCCGTGGGGCGGATTATTATTATTATTATTATTATTATTATTATTATTATTATTATTATTATTATTATTATTATTATTATTATTATTATTATTATTATTATATTATTATATTAATATTATTAATTATTTTATATTATATTATTATTATTATTATTATTTTTATTTAATTCTCCTTAATGGGTTTTTTGGTAAGTTTTGGTGGCCTAAGCCAGTATAAAATATAACACATCATCTATATATTTAATCAAACTATTTTAACTAGTATTTGATTTGATTGATTTCAAATTAATTAATATTTTCAAATTTGCGAGTAATATGACAGGAATCAATTATAACACTTTTCTGGATGTCATCAATAATTCGCTGGTTTTATTCAAGTCTTCGAATATGCGACAATAAACTTTTTGGCGTTACACCTTCAGCACTAATTATAATTGGAAGAATTTCAATTTTGTTTAGGTTCCAATTACGTTTTGTTTCCACAGCTAATTCTGCATATCGACTACGTTTCTCAAAATAAGTCCGATTCATGTTTTTGGTCATTGGTATTGCAACATCAATAAAGAGTCCTTCTCGACGTCTTTTATCAACAATAGTTATATCTGGTCTATTGTGCAATCTCGTGTGATCGGAATAAATAGTTCGATCGTTATAAATTTTTACGTCTGGATTAACATATACTGCTTGTGGTGTATACTTATAGTATGGAACATTTTCTCTATCAATAAGTCTATATTTATTGCATATTTGCTTATGTAAAATATTAACCACGTTATTGTGTCTCTTTGTGTATTCTCTTTGTGCTAAGCATGTACATCCTGCCTGTATGTGATCTACAGTTTCCGTTTGTTGTCCACATTGCCGGCATTTATCACTAATTAGCGAAGGGTCTGACATTATAAATTTGCAGTAATTTCTTGTCGGAATTACTTGGTCCTGTATTGCAATCATGAATGCCTTAGTTACAGCAAATAGTGTTCCACATGTAAGCCATTTGTGCGACATAATTTTATCGACATTGTCGGCGTTAGTGGATCTATAATATCTTCCATGTAGCGGTTTGATTGGCCAAGCTTGCTCTTTACACTGCCGATCTTGTGCTTTTCTTTCAAAAGTTCCTTTCAAATTTAATGGTGTGTAATGCTTGTCTGCTTCGGTTAAAATTTTAAACAAGATATCATTTTCTGCATTGTTTAGAAAATATTCTCTCATTGATATAATTTGATTGTCATGTAGCTCTTGCAGATCAATAAGGCCTCTACCTTCTTCCTTTCTAGGCATAGTCATTCGCTCACAACATGACTTTGGATGGTGGAATTTGTATTCTGTGAGCATAGTTGGTATTTTTCGCTGCATCGCTTGTATCTCAGTCGTTGTCCATTGTATTATTCCGAAACAATAAGTCAGAATGGGAGTAAGAAAAGTATTGATGGCTTTTATCAAACATTTACCCTGCAGATTCGTCTTGGCTATCTTATGAATACGTCCTTTAAATTCACTATATACTTTATCTTTTACAGCTTTGTGTGCTACTCTTCTGCTTTGAGATACACCAAGATATTTGTACAGTTCGTCTTCTTCCATGTCTTTAATAATCCCTTCGTTTTGCTCAAAATTTTCGAATTTAACGATTTTAACAGTAACAATGCTGATTTTTCTGCATTTTTCAATGCCAAACTTCATTCTAATGTCATTACTAAAGTCCTCGACTATTTTAATAAGCTTGTCTAAGGTTTCTCGCGTCGAAGCATATATCTTGAAATCATCCATATACGTGAGATGATTTACTTTACATTCTCGAGAATTACCTTTAATTTTGAAGCCATACTTTGCGTTTCTTAAGAGATTACTTAGCGGATTGAGCGCCATACAAAACCACAAGGCTGATAGGCAATCACCCTGAAAAATTCCTTGTCGAATACTTATTTCATCTGTTCGTATGACACCATTTTGAGCGAACATTTCTATTATTATTATTAAGACATATTCTTTATTATAAAAATTAAAATTTGAAAATTAGAACTTAGTCTATTTACAAATAATATTTATAAACTTCCTCCATTCGTTTCTGTTTCTGACAGTTAAACGTAGCTAGTTAAAAGATTTGTTTGTTTATGTTGCCACTAATCTTCGCCAGGTGATTTTGGGACGACCTCGTCTTCTTACTCCTTGTGGGTTCCATTCCATGACTGCGTGGGCAATTGCATCTGTCGGCTTTCTAAGTGTGTCCGAGCCAACCATATTTGCGTCTCTGAATTTCTTTCTTTATTGGCTTTTGTTTGTTGCGCTCATAGCTCTTCGTTGGAGACTCTTGCAGGCCACCATATGTTCAGAATACGCCGCAGGCTTCTATTGACAAAGGATTGTAATTTCTTTGTCGAGGCCCTCGTTAGCGACCACGTTTCGCACCCATATAATATGGGTGCAGGAGTTGAATATTCTGATTTTAGTTTCGACAATTACATTGTTGGCTTTCCAGACTTTGTTAAGCGACGCGAAAGACCCATTTGCCTTTTTCACTCTACTGTCGATGTCCTTTGACCTGCCACCATCGTTGTTGACTATTCGTCTTCAATGTTATGATCATACAGAAGGATGGGCGATTGATTGCTTGCTTTCGCTCTCATTGTGTTTGTCTTTGAGGCTTTAATTTTTAGGCCGACTTTATTGACTGCTCACATAAGTTATTAACAAGAGTTTGCATATCAGTGTGTGATCATATTCAAGATGACCAAGGCTTTGATTCAGCTTCCAACTGATGCCGACTGGGTTTTCTTCTACAGCTTCGAGAACGATGTCTAGGACTGTAATAAACAGTAACGGTGAAAGGGCGCAGCCCTGTCGCACTCCACTGTTGCAATTAAAGCTGTTGCTAAGAGTACCATCATGTAAAACTCTACTCGTGCTCCCTTTGTAGCTCTTTTTGAGAATATTAATGATCTTGTCGTCAAAATGGCGAATTAAAATTAATGAACTAAAATGTAGACACGTCACTTTTACCTTAAATTGGAGAACATCTCCAACAATTTTACTAAATAACACTTCCATACTACAAGCAGATAACATAACGTACTTATATATTCATCTAGACAGACGACTAACTTGGCGCAAGCATATTGAAGCCAAAAAAATGAAGCTTCAAGCTTCAAAGTTGTATTGACTCATTAATAACAGATCTTCTCTGTATCTAGAGTGTAAAGTACTCTTGTATAACAGCATCATAAAACCAATATGGACTTATGGTATTCAGCTATTTGGTAATGCTAGCGCTTCAAATATTGAAATTATCCAAAAAGCTCAGTCAAAAATACTGAGAACAATCACTGGTGCCCCATGGTATATTAAGAGGGAAAGTATCAACCGAGATCTACAAATTCCCCTAGTTACAGCTGAATTTGACCATATAAAAAAAAATACAATAAAAGGCTGACAAAACATGTTAATCTCTTAGCAAGGAATCTCGAATTTCTATCTATTTCTTCCTCATAAAAAGAGCTGACCTGCACCTTTCTTTTTAGTAATCTGATAAAGTTGAACTGCTTTCTTATTAAACCACTTAACATTCATTTCAATGAAATTTAACCCATTGATCTAAGTGGGGTTCGTGGTATAAGGTTTACTTATTTTATTTTATTTTTTATTTTATTTTATACTATGTATAGTTAAAATAAAAATTGTAGTTTTATGTAATTAGTTATAAGATTTGGGATAAATAAATGTATGCTTACAAAAAAAAATCTTTTGAGAATTTCTTGGTTGATTAAGTCAACTATCCACTGTATTTATTTGACTTGGTACCATGGGATTTATCACTCTTACGTAAACAATTACGTGAACATAGAAGTTATCTTTAAGACTTGCGACGACAACTTGAAGTAAAGCCTGACCCTTCAATAGGGTGAAATGCGAAGGCGCTCCATATTGCCCATCTAATCACGAAGAGCGCAATTTTTGTGATAATATGGATTTTAAATTTATGTGTATTTGCTTTCAATAAATACAAGTATTTTGAAAGAACATGGGATGTTAAAATTGTGAAATATGTGGTTCTTGTATTTCATGGGAGGAGCATCGTGTTCAGTTGCCCATAGGCGCTAAGTTTCTAAAGATGGCTCTGACTAAAAGATTATCATTTGAAACCTAATAAACTTGCTTTTATTCATTTAAATATCGTGAGATTTCTTCAAAGTAAACTTAGCTATTTATTTATGCAGTTGCCAGTTAATACTGCCACCCTGTATTTACACCCTGTATTCACATGAAAAATTTTTTGTTTAAAAAGTAACTTTCAGAAATTTTTTATAAATTAATTATTCTGAATAATTTTATCCTGCACGTATTCGATTAAGGAAGAATGACCAAAATCAATTGTCATTCCAGAAGACATTGATTTTGTGCGAAAACTGATAATGCAAGATCGTCATAAGGCACGTTGTAAGATATTTCTACCATGGTGCATGACAATTCAGTCGTACAAAAGATTTGTTCTTGTTGAATTCCACATAATATGTTATGCGAACTTGTACTCGTCGATAAAGTATAAGTCCTTCCCTCTTTTAGCTCTCAATCCATCTTTAAAACTTCAAACTCCCATTAATCGATATGGATGGGTGCATTTGATCCTACCGTTACGTCACGACGCTTTTATGAGCAACAACGGCTGACTAACAATAAAAACTATGGCTAGTCTGTTTGCAAGATCGCTGACACTTCTTGCCAGTTGAGTTGCTTTCTGAGCGTTTCTTTCGCGTACTGCTTAGCGAAATTGAATTATTAATCTCTCCTGTAGATCACAATTGCCCTTATTGCTGCTATCATAAATGTGTGGATAAAATTCGTCACAGTGGGATCTTCATTTGAAGATGCAGTTATATGTTGTTTTTCTTCTGTAAATCGATGGCTCTACAGTATTTCGTAACGAATGTTATATTTTCCACCTTTGCTGATGAGGCAGAATAAATCATTGTCAAGTTTAAAGCGTTATAAGTACTAAATAGTGTATTTTGTAGTAATGGATGTTGTGGTTTGTTTTCTATGAGTCAAAGTAATCCTACAATTTCATATACTAGTCAAAATAGTATTGAGAAGGTTTTTGGATAAAAACATTAATGCGCCCTCTAGCACGTTTCTATATCCTTTCAGAAATGAAATTGGTACAATTCATTATTAAATAATTTCAGAGTGCTTTATAAAGCATGATAAGTTGTGGACTGAAAAGTGTTCGACATCCATTATATTTACTTTGCGAGTCTTTAAAGCATTTTTGAAATACATTTTAATCTGAAGAGGAAACTGTTTTGATTCCGCTCACATAGTGAATATAACAATTTACTTTGTTTTTGCTTGTAATTTTCTTAAATTTACCTTGCGCAAAACTTTTGACCCAAGGAAGTTGGGTTTGATAGAGCCACGTCAGGGTTTTAGATTTTTTTCGTAAATATTTTTTATGTAAACTATAATTTCTTTATTCAGGATGTTTCAGTCTTTTGAGGTAAGCAGCATAAATATTTTATTTACTAAGTCCACATAGGCAACTTTGCTCAGCAATAATAAAATAATAAACAAAAATTAAGGCAAAGAAGAATTGAACGTGAAGTTTTCGCTTTAATCCTTTACAAATATTTTTACCAGTGTGCAGCTTAAAGGAAAGTTAGCTAAATAATTTATGAATTGCTGCAGCAAAATTTGTACGACTTGGTCGGTCGGGTCACTGGCGACGCAGGTGGCGAGGGAAGACGCTAACTGCTGCGTTATTGCCAAAAGGTGAATTTTTAAGCGCATGATGTTCGGTCATTTGTAAGTAAGTTTGCCTTTGGCTTAGGCATTAAATATGTAAGCCGACTTTGTGTGGAACTTCCTGGTAACGTGTAATCGATTTAAAGAGTTTGTGTGTGTGTGTGTGTGTGTGTGTGTGTGTGTGTGTGTGTGTGTGTGTGTGTGTGTGTGTGTGTGTGTGTGTGTGTTATCCTTATAAGAAAGCCACTTAACATACAACAGAGCAAACTTGTGAATTGTATTCTGAATTTAATAATTCATAGGTTTATACGAATTCTGCCCTTGCCACCATCGCTGCCATTGCCAATCCAACTCCTCAAGGATTAAATGTCTTTGTTGTTCGGGGTCGAGGGGAATATGCTTCGCACCTGTCGAAGCTGATTTTACTTGTTCAATGCATAGGCTCAATTTACTGAAAAGTTATTTAAATTTAACTGATTTCGAAATAGTTTAGAAATATTTCTCATCAAAAGATTTAGTACTTTAATTGCTTGTGGGCCAGTCGGACAACTATACTTGCATTACCGACAAATTAGATCTAACGTATAGTGTATTTACTGAATTGGAAAGATGCTAAAGCCAATATATATAATTTTTTTCTTGTCATTTTTTGATATTTTTTATTTCACATTTTCATGGGTATTTTATTCTTAATGCCAGTGAACAGCGAAAGTAAAAAATAGAATTAAGCTTAAAGTACTGTATAATCCATATGAAAACAGCAACAATGTAAAAATGCCCCGATCATATATATAAATTATATATTTACTTTTAGCGATTCAAAAATATATATTGTTCAAGAATGGACATGTTTATCAACTAATTAAATAGCTAATTCGAAAATTAATATTTATTTTATATCAAGCCGTATGAACATGTTTTATTCTATTGATTAATTAATTATTAACTATGGTAAATGTTATATTTTATATTTATTAAGCTATCCTGCCTTAATAAAGGCGCTGGCAATATGTTCAATAATGCACATGTTACGATAATTTAAGACATATGCTAGTTTTTTACAATCATATAAGTATTAAAATTAAAATTGAGCAGAATTTGCAACTCTGCGTATTTAGCACGTTGACAGGATGTGCTTAAATTTATAGTTTATTATTTTATGTTTGTTATCATTCAAATTCTTAGAATTATGAAATAAGAGAAAAACCCGGGTGAAAAATACCCTA